CCTATCCAAACCTCTTTCTTCCTTCTATTCAGCGCTACTCTACTCTACGTGGAGTTCCCCAAAATGGAGGCCCTCTGGGAGGCCTGACATTCCTACATTAGATAGGGACTGTTTCGAAGACAGCTTGAGGTTGGTGATCTCCTCCAGGGATAAACTCATTCAGACAAAATTCCTACATAGGGTATACTATACTCCTCAGAGATTGGACAATATTTACCCTCAACAGTTGTCCAACTGTTCCTGTTGCTAGACAGCAGTTGGCACCTATTTCCATATGTTTTGGGATAGCCCAGAGGTATCTACGTGCTGGGTGTCGGTGTTTGAACTCATCAGTCTCTGTCTGCAGCTGACCCTTCTGGTCTTCCCTGAACTGGCACTGTTTGGCATTCAGAATGACATGCAGAGGCCTCGATACACCAAGTTGCCATGCCAAGAAATAAATTAAACTCAAATGGAACACATCCTCCCCCCTGTCCATGGATTCCTGTGAGAAAGCTGTTAACAAAGTCCTTCCTATGTATAAATTGACCTACATCAATAGAAATTGTCCACGTAAATTTGATAGGTTATGGCAGCCATGGATGGCCCAGTAAATGAACCCTTCCCTCTGTCGATGTACCTATCCATTGGTCCTGGCATGGCTGTGATCCCATCACATATGCTCCACGATGTATGTGCATGATGATGCTCTCTGCATTATGTATGGATTCTTTGTCAGTAGATTGTATTTGCTCATGTGTGCATTTTGCCTGTTTCACTGCCAGTATTTGTTTTTACCCTGATTTCTATGTGAATTTGTACCAATGTCAATGTTCCAATAAAGGAACAATTTGGTCGTTAACATCTACTCAACGGTTATCGTATTTCGGAATACTTTAAATGTGACATTGATTATTGCGTTTACTTTTTAAAATACCCATACTCACTGCTCAACATTGGAAAGACTATTGGACCTTTAAAGTGTTGGTTTCAGAAGCACAGCAGCAACAAAGGGTAGCCCTGGAGAACCACCATTTGTATAATCCTATTAAATGCAACAAACTTGTGCTGGTGCACTTTGTTCACCAAACTCATGAACTTAGAGGTATGATCATTGACTGGGTCCCAAGTTCTCATCATAGTGGTCAAAGAAATCATGTTGTATTACAGGGAGAGTCTTTTTGAATTTATGCTTTGCAGATGGTCACCCCTGTGCTTCTTACCCAAGTGTATTCCAAGTGTAATTTTTTTTCTTTGCATTTTTTTCTTTGTTTTTGGACACAGAGTTTAAAAATTTGGTTATCTCACATGTTTTGCCTCATGCGTACTTTGTTTTTTGCCCTTGTCCTTTTTTTTTTGCACAGGTTTTTGTGATTGGTAGGGGTTACTCTTAGCGTGGCCATACATTAAAAAATGTTCTTGTTCGATTTCCTTTATTTTTACCTTCAACTATGCAGTGCACAGGCCTGTATACAAACTGAAAGTGTTTAGGTTTGACCTCATATTATATGGTTTTTATCAAATCTAAAGGAAAATTGTACAAGAAAATTGTATAATATATGGCCAGCCTTATTGCTTTTTTTCATACAGGGAGGGTACGCAACTTACAGGTTTTGAGATACATGGGCATGTGCTGTGCACACTCACCATCCTAAACATCAAGGGCTTTTTGCACTATGAAAACCTGTGACCTTGTGTAACCAAAAGGCAGGCTTGATCCACCTGCTGGCTTGTATACACTTTTTGGGCAATTTGTAGGCATTTTTCAAGGCACCCTGGCTGAAAAAAGACTGCTCTATAGCACAGGGAGGTGTTGGTACACCACTTACAGGTTTTGAGATGCATAGGCAGTTGGTGTGTGTGCTTGTTCCAGAACACATGCTACATTCCTGGTTCATAACAGTCACCATACTAAACATCAAAGGCCTTTTTTAAAGGTCACATCACCACTGGCCATCTGTCCTCTATGGACATATTGGGCACAATTTCTGTGTCATCCTTGACATTGCACATTCCAATTTGTATGAATAAGACCAGGCAAGAAGGCACTGATGCATGGATTTCTGATAATTGATGGGTGTGTGTATGTATGTATGTATGCAGATACGTGTGTGTGTGTGTATATAGATAGATATATATATATATATATATGTGTATATATATATATATATATATATGTGTATATATATATATATATATATATATATATATAATGCATGTATGTACGGGTTAGTGTCTGTCACCTTGCAGAAGGAAACCTTTGGGTCTCAGAAACATCTATTTTCTTTATTTTTGAAACATTTGCATTCACATTGAGGTTTGAATTCTGGTCTGATCACCAGGGTTTCCTATGGGATAGAGGAGCTAGTTGAAACATCTGTGACGGCCACCTTCTGCAGCAAGACAGAGAGGGATATTTCTGAAAGACTCAAAGGGAGCACTGAACCAAATTTAAATCCAACATAGGGCCGGGTGATTTGACAGGGTAGCTATATGAGTGAACTCCTGAATGGAAGGAATGAGAGAGTGAGACACCAGTGGTGTCTGCAACAGGATGGCTAGGACTGAGACTTGAAACTTTATAGGACTAAGGGCGAGCTGCATGAGGACCCACCTAAAGCCCTTGGACTTACACAACCTAAAGTATGCATTTGAAGTCCAATGGTACAAGTAATGGGCAGTGAACTTGTGCGCCTTCACCATCACCATAGAATCACAGATTTCATGATGCCCTTGTCCCTCAGAAATTTGCCTTCAATAACCAAGCAATTCAATCCAACAACCAAGAGGCAGGATAGCAGATCAGTCTCTGAGACAGCATGTCTGGCAGAAGTCAAAGTGCATCTGCAAACAACTTTACCCAGGCTAAGAGGACCGTTGGAATGCCCTCCACCTCAATCCTGTGAAAGGAGACAAGGAAGTTGTGACGGGAGTCACTTTGGGTGGGGGGCCCATGGAACCCAGCTCACTTTGGAGAGGTGGGAAGACCCGTCTCAGCTCCCCATATCACTCTTATGTGTAAATCACCCTGTGCCTGTTAGGGGTACAGGGTGATCTATCCTAATATTGTGTGGGGGTTGTTGATTGTTTGATGTTTATGTGGTTGCATCCAATTGTTCTATTGTGCATCTGGCTTGGGAGAAAACTATTATGGGATGTATGTGTTTATGTGTATTGGCTTGGTGGGGGGGTGTCTCCAGCAGCCCTCCCTCCTGATTGGACTGTCTGTTGGTGTGTCTCTTGTTACTAAATGTAGGTTACCCCGCCCTGTGTCATTATGCAGGGAGGGAGGGGGTATTGTCCCCTTGAGTGTATATATCTTGTATCTATGTTAAAATAAACTAGTCTACCTCCTGGTTTACTTCAAGACTGGTGTCGTCTAGTCTTGTATGGTCAGCTGTGGTGTCATTTGTCTGTGTTCGGACGGGGAAGCGGTATTCTAACAGAGGTACTCAAGTGCAGTCTGAGTTGGTTCCATTACAGAAGTAGTTGCAGGGGAGAAAAGGCATAGATCAGACTGTATTGGATGCCACAAGGCCACTAGTGCATTCATTGTGTCAGGAATGGACTGGCCAGCAATGGTGGGACTCACCTGCCTTTTGATCTGCAGTACCAGGGCTGGCCAGCGGATGCTCAAAGCAATCAGAGACTCAACTTTGCAGCCAGCTAACACCTGGAACTGATTATGCTGGGGTATTTAAGGGATGGCCAGACCCACAGACTCTGCCTTGGTGTTGTGTTTGTCCTGGGCCCTGTATCCTGTTTCTGTCCTGCATCCTGTTTCTGAACCGCTGCTGACTTCTCCTGCTCTGATCCGGCTCGCTCCTGACCATCCCTCTGCCTGACCCTCTGTACCACGCTGCTTGCTACCTGTTCTGATCCCTGGCTTGTGACCCTGACCATCCCTCTGCCTGACCCTCTGTACTACGCTGCTTGCTATCTGCTGAACCAATCTCCGCTTGCTCCCCCTGTACCTACCTACCCTATTGATATTGACCCGGCCTGCCTGACGACGCTTTCTTGTATGTACTGTTATCTGTGGGTGGTTGGTTTGGTTTGGTTGCACTGTATTATGTTTTAGTATTGCACTGCGTTTATGTTTGTATTGTTAGTGTTAATAAATTATATTGTTTATAACATATCTGAGGTCTGCGTTTCCCTGCGTCAGCCACACACCTCTGGTCACACCTGGGAGCCCTGACATTACACCAAGGCCAATCCTGACCAGAAGTGGCTGCACAGGGAAGCCATCTTGGCTTGTTGATGGGAAGGATGGATCTGGATGAGGTTGTGTATTTATATCTGCTAGTGTTTGATGACAGGGAGTATGCTTATCAAACTCTGAAGGAGTATCCCAGGGATCAACTACTAGAATGTATACGGCTCGCTCATGTTCTAGTAGATCAGGGCACAGAGTTCTCTGAGGTGCAGCCTTTGATTGAGGTTTGTGCTGAGTTGGTTTCATCTGGTTCCCCCGAATGCAGGGATGAATTTTTGCCACCATTTAGTGCAGACCAGGTAGAGTCCCTGGTGTGGTTATTAGAGGATGATGTGGGTTACTTTCTGGAGCGTTATTCCACATGTTCACCACAGACACTAAGAGATTGTATAAACGCAGTGCAGTCATTGACCAGACAGGCTTTGCGTAAGCTCAGCTTTGTTCAACCCCTACTGCAGACATGGACAGACTTGTTGCACCCAGCCTCAGTCAGCTTACAAAGACCCAGTCCTGCTTCTAACTCTACTCCTGTATTCCCACCAGCTCCTCCAGTTACAGCCCAGTATACTTGGCTATCTACCGCATGTCAGTACCCTGTTCCCACTCGCTGCACCTATCCTGCCTTTAACCCTGTAAAAAAGCCCTCTGTAGCAACTGCTCCCTCTCCTGTTCCATCCTCCAGTTTTTCTCTGTCTCCAGCTGCTCCATTCATTTGCAGACCTGCGTTTACTTGCAGTGCTCCAGTAGTTAAAACCAGAAAAAAGCGAAAATTCTTTCCAACCAATACCATCCTGCCAGTATCCAAACCGGTGAACCTGCCTTCCGTGACTCAGCCTGAAGCCTCTACTCAGCCTGAAGCCTCTACTCAGCCTGAAGCCTCTCTACTCAGCCTGATGCCTCTCTCAGCCTGATGCCTCTCTTCAGCCTGATGCCTCTCTTCAGCCGGATGCCTCTCTTCAGCCGGATGCCTCTCTTCAGCCGGATGCCTCTCTTCAGCCGGATGCCTCTCTTCAGCCTGATGCCTCTCTTCAGCCTGATGCCTCTCTTCACCTGAAGCCTCTACTCAGCCTGAAGCCTCTACTCAGCCTGATGCCTGCATTCAGCCTGATGCCGCTACTCAGCATGATGAACTGATCCAGCCCGACGATCCTATTAGGCCAGTTGACTCGATGCCCGCTGTTGATCCAGATGATCCGGTACCTGATCCAGTGCCCGCTGTCGTGCCAATTGACTCAGAGCCCGCTGTCATACCTGGTGACCCGGTGCCCACTGCCTTGCCAGATGACGCGATGCCCGCTGGCAAGCCAAATGACCTGATGCCTGGTGACCCAGTGCCCGCTGTCATACCTGGGGACCCAATGCCCGCTGTCGAGCCAGACAATCCGATACCTGATGACCCGGTGCCCACTGTCGTGCCTGTTGACTCGGAGCCCACTGTCTTGCCAGACGACTCGGTGCCCGCAGTCTTGCCAGGCGACTCGGTGCCCGCAGTCTTGCCAGACGACTCGGTGCCCGCAGTCTTGCCAGACGACTCGGTGCCCGCAGTCTTGCCAGACGACTCGGTGCCCGCTGTTCCGCCAGTTGACTGCCCGCTGTTCCGCCAGTTGACTCGATGCCCGCTGTTCCGCCAGTTGACTCGATGCCCGCTGTTCCGCCAGTTGACTCGATGCCCGCTGTTCCGCCAGTCTTGCCAGACGACTCGATGCCCGCAGTCTTGCCAGACGACTCGGTGCCCGCAGTCTTGCCAGACGACTCGGTGCCCGCAGTCTTGCCAGACGACTCGGTGCCCGCTGTTCCGCCAGTTGACTCGATGCCCGCAGTCTTGCCAGACGACTCGATGCCCGCAGTCTTGCCAGACAACTCGGTGCCCGCAGTCTTGCCACGACTGGTGCCCGCAGTCTTGCCAGATGACTCGGTGCCCGCAGTCTTGCCAGATGACTCGGTGCCCGCAGTCTTGCCAGACGACTCGGTGCCCGCAGTCTTGCCAGACGACTCGGTGCCCGCTGTTCCGCCAGTTGACTCGATGCCCGCAGTCTTGCCAGACGACTCGGTGCCCGCAGTCTTGCCAGACGACTCGGTGCCCGCAGTCTTGCCAGACGACTCGGTGCCCGCAGTCCTTGCCAGACGACTCGGTGCCCGCTGTTCCGCCAGTTGACTCGGTGCCCGCAGTCTTGCCAGACGACTCGATGCCCGCAGTCTTGCCAGACGACTCGATGCCCGCAGTCTTGCCAGACGACTCGATGCCCGCAGTCTTGCCAGACGACTCGATGCCCGCAGTCTTGCCAGACGACTCGGTGCCCGCAGTCTTGCCAGACGACTCGGTGCCCGCAGTCTTGCCAGACGACTCGGTGCCCGCTGTTCCGCCAGTTGACTCGATGCCCGCTGTTCCGCCAGTTGACTCGGTGCCCGCAGTCTTGCCAGACGACTCGGTGCCCACTGTCGTGCCTGGTGACTCGGTGCCCGCCGCTTCGTCTGGGGGCCCGAGACCTGTTTGCTCCGCCTGAGGGCCCGAGACCTGTCGCTCCATCTGGGGGTCCGGCGCCCGCCGCTCCGTCTGAGGGCCCGAGACCTGTCGCTCCATCTGGGGGTCCCGCGCCCGCCGCTCCGCCTGAGGGCCCGAGACCTGTCGCTCCATCTGGGGGTCCGGCGCCCGCCGCTCCGCCTGAGGGCCCGAGACCTGTCGCCCCGCCTGGGGGCCCGGCGCCTGTCGCCCCCGCCTGAGGGCCCGAGACCTGTCGCCCCGCCTGGGGGCCCGAGGCCTGTCCCCCGCCCGGGGGCCCGAGGCCTGTCGCCCCGCCCGGGGGCCCGGTGCCTGTCGCCCCGCCCGGGGGCCCGGTGCCTGCCGCCCCGCCCGGGGGCCCGGTGCCTGCCTGCCGCCCCGCCCGGGGTAGCCCGTGATGTTGCCTCTGCCCTGCCGCCTGCCCGATGTGCCTCTGCCCGGAGTCCTGCCTGCCTTCTGCCTGGTCCTGCCCGATGTGCCTCTGCCGGAGTCCTGCCCGATGCCTCTGCTTGGAGTCCTGCCCGAGTCCTGCCCGATGTGCCTCTGCCCGGAGTCCAGCCCGATGTGCCTCTGCCCGGAGTCCAGCCCGATGTGCCTCTGCCCGGAGTCCAGCCCGATGTGCCTCTGCCCGGAGTCCAGCCCGATGTGCCTCTGCCCGGAGTCCAGCCCGATGTGCCTCTGCCCGGTGTGCCTCTGCCCGGAGTCCGGCCCGGTGTGCCTCTGCCCGGAGTCCAGCCCGGTGTGCCTCTGCCCGGTGTGCCTCTGCCCGGTGTACCGCTGCCCGGAGTCCTGCCCGGTGTGCCAGTCTTTGATATCCCGCCAGTTACCAGACCCGGGCGGTGGAACATTTTTCCCAGCTAGGACTGTTTGGAGCATCCTGAGGCCGCTCCTTGAGGGGGGGGGGGTACTGTCAGGAATGGACTGGCCAGCAATGGTGGGACTCACCTGCCTTTTGATCTGCAGTACCAGGGCTGGCCAGCGGATGCTCAAAGCAATCAGAGACTCAACTTTGCAGCCAGCTAACACCTGGAACTGATTATGCTGGGGTATTTAAGGGATGGCCAGACCCACAGACTCTGCCTTGGTGTTGTGTTTGTCCTGGGCCCTGTATCCTGTTTCTGTCCTGCATCCTGTTTCTGAACCGCTGCTGACTTCTCCTGCTCTGATCCCGGCTCGCTCCTGACCATCCCTCTGCCTGACCCTCTGTACCACGCTGCTTGCTACCTGTTCTGATCCCTGGCTTGTGACCCTGACCATCCCTCTGCCTGACCCTCTGTACTACGCTGCTTGCTACCTGCTGAACCTGGCCTGTGACCCCAACCAATCTCCGCTTGCTCCCCCTGTACCTACCTGCCCTATTGATATTGACCCGGCCTGCCTGACGACGCTTGCTTGTATGTACTGTTATCTGTGGGTGGTTGGTTTGGTTTGGTTGCACTGTATTATGTTTTAGTATTGCACTGCGTTTATGTTTGTATTGTTAGTGTTAATAAATTATATTGTTTATAACATATCTGAGGTCTGCGTTTCCCTGCGTCAGCCACACACCTCTGGTCACACCTGGGAGCCCTGACACATTGCTTCCACTAGTGGATCCCAAAAACTGAAGACAACCCTGTCCAATTTAACATTGAACCAGGATGCTAGGAGCTCACATAGATTCTGGAACACCTCCTGGTTGAAAGACCAGTCTGGGTGCTTGTGGCTAAGAAAATCCACCCAACTTTTCACACCAGGGATGTACATAGCAGAGAAATATGGAACTTGTTCCAGGTCAAGTTGAGCTCAAGCTCTCTTGCAGCAGTGAGACTTCATGTTCTTCCCTGATACTTGGCACATGCCACTGTTGTCACGTAGTCCAGCTGTATCAAAATTTGGTACCCTGTCAGCTGATTGGCCTATTTCAAGCAGAACTCTAGAAAAAAACTTCTTTACATGTCCTGGTTGCTGATCTCTTACCTTCACTGAATAGGTCATCCATCTTCTGGTTCACCTAGTAGTTGCTCTGAAAGAGCCTATTCATTTTCAAATCAAACCGTTAATTCTCTTTGGTTTCTTGTTTGTAAGACTGGTGGGTATTATGCCTCCTATTCCCCCAACCACTGGTCTTGGCACATCCCCTCTGTAGGTCTTTCTGCAGAAAGCAGTGATTTAATTCAGCCCTACTTGCAGTGGTGGGTGGACCAAGACTCTCAGACACATTGAACATGTACAGGCCTAGTGTACCCGCCCACATTCACTACAATTCCCAGTGGTTGATGGGAACTGTAGTTTTACTGCAGAGAGAGAGGAGAGGATATGACATAATTCTGGCTATCACACACCTTCCTTGGCAGAGCAGATGCTGTTATCTTTTGAATTACAGAGATGAAGTCATGAAAATGCAACTAGACTTTTCTCCTCAATGGTAAGGATTTATAAAAATGTTATTAACTGTTTAGTGTTTTGTGTAGGGGGTGTACTAATGGGTGATTTTTTTTTTGCCTATCACAGTTTTTCTTTAAGGGACAACTGGATCACCCAAAGTTGATTCCTCCAACAACCATTTCCCTTGGACCTGAAAAAGGTTTTTTTTTTATTAGCGCTTTTGAATGTGGTTCCAGAGATATCTTTTCACAAAGGCCATACAGAGAAGTGAATTCTTAGAAGCATGTTACACCGTCCAAAATGGTAGCAAAGTATGGTCCGCTATAAGGCTGATGCAGGAAAGCAAGTTGCATCATGTTTAACAAGGCAGACATCTAGTCCACACAACCCATGATCAGTAAAATCACATTTAATTAGTTTTGACCATCCAGCCAGGGACTGGGGAAGTAAGGCTAGAACAAAAGCTGGAAATAGACTGTGACCAGTATATGTGTAGAAATAGCTTCCATTATCTTATTTGTGGAGTCATTGCATAAAGAAACACCCTCAACTTTGCTTGTCCAGGTGAGAAATAAAGGGGTCAGTCACAGGTGATATAGACCACTTCTTGATTTCTTCCTGTAATAACTTAAGTAAGCAGGTACAGGGATGCAAAGTGTTTGGGAAGAGGAAACAGGTCTTTCAGGGTGTTTCCAGGTCCACATGAGCATTATAATTTTTGGAAAAGGGGAATGTTTTCAGATCCCATGACACAATTCTTACTGACTTAATCTCCAGAGCAGCGATTTCCCTTAATTGCTGTCCCACTGGCAGTGGTCTTTAGGACAGATCATAATAGTAAATCCCACCCAAAAGAATGTATTTCACAGCAATACACTACAAACCTATAGAAGATTAATTGACTAGAAACTTAAAAATGCAGCAAGGAAGACTTTTCAAAAGTTTACCACACTAAAACATGTAAATGTGAACTGTGACTTCTGCTGAGAACTGTCTGTTAGAGTAGAATTCTTGATCCTTGGAAACAAACTAAAAGGTCTTCTCACTATCTGCTCTGAGCTGATGCAAAGACCATAGAAAAAGCCCCCATTTTGGGTCATCCCCTATCACTGCAAAAAGGGGTTAAACAGATATATCAGTGCACCTTTCTATTATACAAGAGAAGAGAGAGAAAGAGTGATACTTATAAACTCCCTTACATAAATAATGGATAACTAAACTAAGATCAGGCTGCACTGAGTTCCCTGCAGTGTTCTGGATTAGATGCTCATCCCAAGCTATTGGCCAATAGATTTTAGCTACCATCAAGTGAGAGCATCCTGCAGTCATGTACTGTTTCTTTTGTACTTGTTTGGTAGATCATCCACTGAAAACCGATGCCAGGAGGGAGTGCTGTAAGGTTTCTACATCCCAGTTCTAAGCCTCTCAATTTCTCAAGTTTCTGACATGAATCTGACCTAAGAGCTATGAAAAAATAGGCTGTATGTTAAGGAGTTAAAGTGTATCTATGGTCCAAATGTAGAATTATTTATATATTGCCACATTGGTTTAATTTTTTTTTCTAGCCTACTTCTGTTAATTTGGATGATCTTGACATCTGTAAAACATATTATGTGAAGATCCCCACACATTTACTTCCTTGAATTCTGTTACACAAACTTACTATGCTCTGTTAGTAGGCACTGCTGTATCAGATTTCCCAAAGTCTACCTTCTGAACTACAGCGGTGCTGAGAGGAGGAGTTTCAGGAGGCACAGTCAGTATAGTAATCATAGCTTGCAGGTAGCAAGGTACCATGGGATATGTAGCCCTTAGAAACAACATAAAAAGCAGAGAAGCTGAAAAATAATACAGGGAATACATGAAAAGGGAAGACGTGGAAAAAGAAGCCAGCAGACAGGCAGAACTCACAACATTAAAGGACATTTCCAAGCTTTTACTGGAATGTCAAAAATAACTATTACAATGCTGAAAACACAAGTTATTACCTGATAACTCCTTTTCCAGAAATCCTCAAAGATGGTCACAAGAGAGATACGCTCCTCCTACAGTAAACACAAGCACAGAGAGAAGTTAAAAGCTACCCAAACACTACGCCCTAAGTATTACCAAATATGAGCAGAAAATTAAACAGAACCAACCATACATTAAAAAAGAGATCCTTAGGGCAACCAACTTACTGTCCTGGAGGATTCCTGGAAAAGGAGTTATAAGTAGAGATGAGCGAATCGAACATGACGAAGTGGAATTCGTTTCGAAGATTAGGAAAAATTCGATTCGCGCCGAATCCGAAAATTAGCAAACTTCGGATGCACGAATCGAATTTTCCAAAAATGGCGGCGACATGTGTGGCGACGGAGCGGGGATCTCTGGGAAGGCACGCAGACAAGGTGCGCTGACCCATAATGCATTCATTCATGACATGTGATCGCATTAGCCAATCAGCAGCCAGCCAGCCAGCACTGTGTAATGGTGGAGCTATAAATCGCGGCCATCTTAGAATTCTCCATTAGCCTCCGGTCATTCAAGAGAGACAGACCTGTCTGTATTAGGGACAGAGTTAGGGCCACAGAGACTTTAGGGCCACAGAATCGTTACTCAGGGACACAGAATCGTTACTCAGGGACACAGAATCGTTACTCAGGGACACAGAATTGTTACTCAGGGACACAGAATCGTTACTCAGGGGACACAGAATCGTTACTCAGGGACACAGAATCGTTACTCAGGGACACAGAATCGTTACTCAGGGACACAGAATCGTTACTCAGGGACACAGAATCGTTACTCAGGGACACAGAATCGTTACTCAGGGAATTGTTACTCAGGGACACAGAATCGTTACTCAGGGACACAGAATCGTTACTGAGGGACACAGAATCGTTACTCAGGGACACAGAATTGTTACTCAGGGACACAGAATCGTTACTCAGGGACACAGAATCGTTACTCAGGGACACAGAATCGTTACTCAGGGACACAGAATCGTTACTCAGGGGACACAGAATCGGACAGGGACACAGAATCGTTACTCAGGGACACAGAATCGTTACTCAGGGACACAGAATCGTTACTCAGGGACACAGAATCGTTACTCAGGGACACAGAATCGTTACTCGGGGACACAGAATCGTTACTCAGGGACACAGGGACACAGAATTGTTACTCAGGGACACAGAATTGTTACTCAGGGACAGTTACTCAGGGACACAGAATCGTTACTCAGGGACACAGAATCGTTACTCAGGGACACAGAATCG